CTGAAAAGAGTATAAATTCTGAGTGCTCATTATGGTTTTGTCATCCCTTACGGTAATGTCGAAGCTGATTAAGTAGTGCAGATCTATTTTATAAATATAGCTAATTTATTTTCGTTTTCTGGTCAGCGAAATATTACCGTAAATTGGGCTACTGATGAGCTTCAATCGAGCACCGGATCTCAATTTGAATCAGAATTGTATATATGTATATAGGGAAACTTTTCGACGAAATTTTTAGAAACTAAACTTAAAGTGAGCGTATCATCCGGCTGCTATATAACACAACAAAACTTGTTAGAAAAATCCGAAAACGACATTGCGAAACTAGTGGCGGCTCTTACAGCGCATTAACCGATTGGCACCCATGCCAGAAGACTGTCCCGCGCCTATAATAAATTCTTCGCAGGCTGCAGGAATGTATATAAATAAAACGCAAAGATGAGAGTGACTATTTTACCGATATATTTATGGTAGGAAGGTCCTTAAGATAACAAAATCATGGGGCATCATGTTATTTTGTTCAACGTACAAAATAAATTCACCCACGAAATTTTCAAAATTTTAAGCAAATTTTTAGTGGTTTCAAAATATTGTATACTAAAAAAAAAATCGAAAAAATGCGATAACTCAGCATGTTTATGAATTTATTTGAATAAGTTCAATAAAATTTTGAATTCATAAAATTTCTAGTAAAAATTTTCTCGAAATTTTGCGATGTAAAGAAAAATTTAATTTTTTCAAAGTGTTTAGGCCTCCACGCTAAAACTTTTCTTTACCACACTACAGAAATCTATTTTCTCAATTTGGCAAACTCCAGATTATTTTTTGACCCATGGTTTCTTCGGAAAATTTGCTAAGAATTATATGTAGAATCAATCTTTATTATACGCCCACAGTCGAAAAAATCTCCCATACAAATTAATCCGTAGGTATGTATTTTTGACCAAAATATTTTGCCTAAAGAGAGAAAGTTTTTTATAGGATTGCAATTTTTATCATTAAAATTTTTTTGTACAAACGAAACTAGGATCTGAAATCAACTTCAAAAAATAAACTAAAGGCGGCGACAAACAATTGAGTATTTGCCAAGAGTTTGGGAAAATTGGTTGCCCAATCGTGTGTGTGTTGCTGTATGAAAACTATGTAAAATAAAACCAGTTTATCCGGTTTTCTCTTAAATTCAAAATAGGGAACCGGCTTTTTTTCAAATTGTAAATTTTCGAATAACTCGAGACCCGGTTTGGTAAAAAAGGCGAATATCGAATACCCTAGTAATTAGTTATATAGCTCGGCTTCCTTCGTTCTGTCCATTCATACCTATCGCTCTAGACCTCGTATTGTATGTTCTTATTTCTGGATGCATAGGGTTTTGATTTATGCTCCTTAGATCTACTCAGGTCCACCAACCTAATCCAAAAACTTTTAGTGTTTACCTTAAAACCAAAATTCATTGAATTTTTGGATACTTTTGTTGTGTATGGGCAGATAATTTGAATGAAAATGAGACACCAGCTGTCAACTGCTATGGGCAACTAATGTTTCCTACCACCAAAAACAAATACATACTGTAGAGTTTAAACTAATGAGATTCTATGGCTGCGTCATTTGAAGGACAAAATATAGACACACACATACATACATACATATGTATACACATGCTTATTTCTCTTGATACCAATTCTAATTACGTTTGCGATTGTTGTCGAGACAACTGCCCAGACAGTCGTTGCCACAGATTTGTGGCCAAAACTTCTGCACGATTTGTTGCACGTGGCAAATGTGCCTAAGTGGTAGCTAAGAAGAGGTATAAGGGGCATATCAAGAAATTAAATCCCACACATAAACAAATTTATGCAAAAACTGACCAAATCAACAGCCTGTGTGAGCGTTAATGCGAAAATAATGAAGTGCTATGCTGCTCAAACTAATAAATTAGCCTGCAAACAATGGATACTTAATTGAGAAAAGTAATAAGTTTTTACTAACTTTTATTGGAGATTATAATATATGAGCAAACAAATATTTATTTTGATTTTTGCTGGAAAATATTACCAACTTTGTTTACTTTCAATACTCGTACTCCTTTAAGCACTCGCATACAAAAAGTCAATTAAAACTTTTCTTACCAAATTGAACGAAATATAATTGAATTGTGCTGTGAAGAGGTTAGTCGTGTGCGAACGCATAAAACTTTTGAAATTATATGGCAACGATGCTTAAATTGGTGGTTAACCTAACAAAAAAGGGAGATATAGAAGACTTTAATAACAGCAATAAAGTCTCTAGCGCATTTTTTTATGCTAAGTAACTTATCCCTTTCATATAAGCAAAGTCTTAAAAGTAAAAAAAAAATACGGAAATTACAGTTTTCATATGTTGCACGTTTCCGGTTATAAATATGTATTTTTCGTAACCAGGCAATATGTGCACTCTATGCAAATTAGTCACTTTATATAGCCATTTATGCATAGAATCAAATGCCAGAGACTACTAGCACATGTTTTAGGTAGCTTACAAATACATATAGTAAACGTAGATGTAACTTTGTGCATGCCCCAGTATGCTGTAGTGCAGGGGGTTCAACGCCACACGCTTCCCTCGAACCATTTGCTGTCATTCAAACGTTTATGTATGTTATTTTTATACAACTGGCGCGACGTCGTTCATTCAGCTATGCAATGCTGTCCATTCAACTGTCTATCAGCAATAGCATGAGTATGAGTATGAGCTTAGCTGCGCTTGTCGCTTTTAAGGATCGGTATTAGGTATAAGCATGAATATGAGTAAAAAGCTATAAAAATATCTATGTAATATATGCAACTAGAGCAGTATGGAGGTTGTATAGGAAATTAAAACAACAAAATTTACGTTCAAAGTAAAAAATTTTGCGTTCCTTGAGCTATTCAGCGGCATTGAGAGGATGCCTATTAGCAGAGCGTAGCTGCTTTATGCCATTTTTGTTTTATTCAGCTCTATTCAGCTACTTAAAATGTAATTCAGCGCTTATGGAAAGATTTTTTAATGTATAAAAACAGTGCAGAACTATTAGAAATTATCTTTGGACGTGTTTTAAGCCCCTGCTGAATTTGTATAAAGGAATCTATTTAGTGCCTGGCCTTTTTGTATTGCTTTATAAAAGAAAAAAGCTAAATATGTGTCTTAATTAGCAGTGAGAAATGATCTCAACCTCTTTAGATCGAATTCAGCTCCATTCAGCTGGTGCTAATTTGATTCAGAGTTAGTTTGCAAACGTTAAAGCTTCGACATTGCTTGTGTTAAATTTTATTTTACAATTTAAAGCTAGTATTTGGCGAACTTAAAATAATTCAGCGGCCACATAATACTTTCCAATTTGTCAGATTTATTCAGCTGATTAAAACGTAATTCAGCGCAATGTAAACACTTTATGTTTAAGTTAATATTCATACATACATATGTTATTGAATTTACTTTTTTTATACTGTGTAAAATTAATTCAGCGCAATTATACGGCCAGAATATAAAGTGGGTTTAATAGTAAGCTTTTTTCTCGATCTTTTTAGGATTGAAAGCTATTTTGTGAATTTAATTTTTCTGTACTCATGAGTTCTAACCTTTTAACATATTTTTCAACCTAATACTTAACTTGTAGTAAATTCAGCACATCACTTGCTTTTAATTGGGAAATTAAAATTAAAAAAAAAATGGTTACAGTATATATTTTTTACGTCTTTTGATAAACGATATGCTATCTAATATATTATTTTGATTATAATTTAGTTCAAAAATAATTCATCGGCTTACTTTTCTAGTATGACGTTTGGCATTTGCAAGTATTATCTTAATTACACTGAAATACTGATCTTGACCGCCTCTGTGTGATATTCAGCGCATTTTTTACTATAAATTGGAATTGAAATTTCTTTTCTACACATATATTGCACCTAGCTTCTTACATTCAGCTCCTTGAAATGTTATTCAGCGCGATTATTAATACTAAGCTTCTTAAATTTCATTGAAACTTATTTGGCCCCGAATTTCTTGATGGGCTCACGAAATGAATTTTGAGTTTTTAAGCGCATATATACATATTGGCTATTTACATATGCACACATATTCATACCTACACGCATATATTGCATATCTACTAGGGCGGGTCATTTTTTCTTGACTATGCCCGTTTAGCATACGACGATTGTGCGTGCAATTCTAAGCAAATTTGTCGAGGAAACCATAAGTCTAAAATCAATTTGGAGTTTGTCAAATTGCGAAAACAGGTTACGAAGAAAATGTTAAAATTTTCAGAGTTGCGCCCTATGGTGGAATTTTAGGAAAAATGTGAGTGCAGAAGTGGATTCCTCATACAAAAAAAACACCTTATAGCATGTTTTTATGCAAAATTTAAACACTCCTTTACGACACTACAGAAAATGCTAAGAAACCTATTTTCGGCCAAATTGATTTTAGACTCATGGTATCTTCGGAAAATTTGCTTAGAATTACACGTGGAATCCTTCTGTGATATAGCCGAAAAAATATCCGATATAAATTGACCCGGCCTAATACATATGTACATATATGTACTATAGTTACATATGGACAACTGTGCTTTGTCGTTTATAACTTATATTATTTCGTTATAAAATAAATACATAGATAGTAGCATAACCACAGCCAGTCAAGCATTGAATCCACACTAACTGGGACATATAAAAGGATGCCACTTTTTTGTTGTTGCAAATTTGTTACAAATGTTACATTTACATGGTAATTTAAAGTTTATACCAGATATTAACTCAAATTTGCTGTAAAATGGAAATTCTTGTTTACTAGCAGCTACACAAAGTAATAAGCAGCCGGACATGTTCATTCATGCCTTCACAAACACAAACACACGCTGAGTGAATATGCAAATGCTGAATAGGTATGTATATGTGTATATTTATATATGTACGTAACGGACATCCTACATTTTTAATGACGTACTATGCGTTCAGCCATCAGCTACAATAACTTTAACTAGCAAATGATTCGCATCTTCCGCTGAGTAAATGATATTAGAAAGTGCTTTCGTATATATGTAAATATGCATATTTACAAACATATTTACATACGCGTATATGTACTTATGCATGTATAAACATTTAATATTTCGAAGTGAGTTCACATAGTCTAATCATTTAAACTTTTTGAATGCTTTTAGTGTAGCAGACATTTCTATATCCGCTTGCAAGTAGCAAGTTTCTGCAAATAGCAGGCAGTCACGGTTACGTTTGTTAGTTCAACACTGTTGCAACATTGCCACTTACTTGTTGCCAATTAAAATGTGCAACTTATTCAATGAAATTATATGGTTTTTTGCACTTTGTAGTCGCATGCAAAAGAACATTTAGAAGCATGTAATTTAAAGTGGCGAAATTCTTCTATCCAGTGGACTCCATTGCGTATGAGTGATATGCAGTACGTACATGAATTTCGAAATGCAGATATTTCAAGCATATTTCTTCTCGTTAATGTAAGTAGTTAGTCAGGGTATGCAATTCAATTCAGCGCCCTAAAAGTTAATTCAGCGCGAATTATTATGTATGTACGTTACTCAGCGACCTTTTAACAGTTTATCTGGCATTTAGGCATGCTTACAAAAAAGTGTTTTCGAATTCAGCGCCTTAAAATTGCCTATTTGGCACGTAAATAAGCTTACACTTGAAAATATTTTTCACTTCCAGTGATTGTATTACTTAAACCAGCGCAGTTATATTTAACTTAGTTTTAATTTTCTTTTTAATTTCTAACCTTAAAGTTAATTCAGTGTTACAGAAATCAGTAAAACTGCACAATTCAGCGCACATTTTTAAATTTACAGCATATTTTTGAGTTTGTAATTAGATCTATTACATGTATCTAATGTATTACCGTACGAATTGTTGTAAAATTTTAGTTTGCAATTGCAAAGTATTTTACAATCCAATTAATAGCAGGTACGATTTTTATAACGTACTGGCTTTGTTCTCTGAAAAACTTTTAAACCTTACACAAAAGTGTGCTTCTAATCTTATTCAATGCTTTTAAACTTTTATTCAGCGCATTGTTTCGGTAATTAATTTCTCAGCTTACAGTATTACATTAAAATTCAACGCTATTCAGCGCCATTCAGCTTCATTCAGCGGTCAAAATATTCAACTAATTCTCATTTTCTGAAAGTTTTTTACATAAGCAGTACTTCTCATTCTATTCAGGGCCCTTAAACCTTTATTCAGCGCATTGTTTCTTTCATTAATTTTTCAGCTCAACGTTTTATATCAAAATTCACCGATATTCAGCGCCATTCAGTGATCAATAAATTTAACTAATACTCAACTTCTTCAATTTTTTACAGCAACGGACTTTAAACCTTTATTCATTATTTTTTCTCTATTTAATTTCCCCTACTTAAACTTGTACATTAAAATTCAGCCATTCAGCTCAATTAAGCGATACAAAAATTCAAATAATTTTCAATTTGTAACTTGTTGCTTAAAAAGTTTTCTTCATCCTTTCAACAACATGCATTGTTTCTGTGACTGATTCCTCAGCTTAAAGTTTTACGCTAAAATTCACTGCTATTCAGCTCAAAAAATCCAGCTAATTCTCAATAGCTTAAATTGTTTAACTTACCTTATCATTCTTCACCTCTTCCAACTCCAATACCTCGGCGGACACTTTCTGTGCATGCCGGTCCACACCCGGACTGAGTAGTACTTCCCAGGTGAGTGTCGGTTTCGGATTACCACCCTCGCTGACGCACGCTAAATTCAATTCGGAATTCTCTTTGACTGGCACAAAAATATTGCCTGCATCTAGGCGCCGTGAATCGATCAGCAAATATGGTGGCTTTGGACGATCTGTAAGCAATTAAAATGGATGGAAATTAATTAAAGTTTTAATTTTATGGTGCCTTAAAAGTGAGCTGATTAGAGTTTGTACAAAAACAGAACAAAACCAAAAAAAAAGTTGAAAAAACAGATTTTTTGAATTGAAATTTATTGGCCACCAAAGCATATAAGAAAAAGGCGGTAGTAGTTTCTGAGCCAACATTGACATGAGTGGACATCCAAAAAAGTATGTCAAACATAAATTGCACAGACCGGCTGTAGCAAAGCTTTGGTCAAAATTCTTGCTCATTTAAAAAGTTTTTATCGCTCATTTCTATTTTGTCCTTCCTTGCGTTCCTCTTTGCTGACTAGTAAGTATCAGTTTGTAGGGCCGCTTAATGCGGCTACTAAATCCAACCGTGCATACATTCTACTCTCTAGTCTACTTCTACTCACCGGCCCTCACGCGCGCTCTCCGCATAAATTCTAGCTATTCAAGTTGCAAAAGTTTTCGTTTGCTTTTGGTTTTTTCTTTTTTTTTCTTGCTAGCCAGCCTCGTTTTGCAACGTGTATTTTAACAAGAAAACTTTTCGCAACATGCCAACGCAGCGCGTTTGTATTCACAGCAACTTGCACAAGTTGATTTACTTGTGTGTTAGTGTGTCGATGTGTATATGTATTGGCATGTCCTGTTTCGCTGTTTGTGTCATTAACAACATCAGAAATCCTTGTCAGTATTCGTATTATGTATATAGTTGGTGTGCCACAAACGTTGACCGGGCACAAGCCAACGCCAAGTGTTGCCAAAGTGCGCTGTAGTCAACTTTTAATTTCAGGTCATTTCATTCAGCGCAAGTAGTATTCAGCGGATGAGAATTGAGGATGGTCGCTTGCTTTTGTTGCATTGTGAGAAAAAATGCGTCCGGATTGCAAATTAGTGTACACGACATGTAATCAGTTAGAATAATCGTAGTTTAAAGCGATTCAGCGGAATTCAGCTGACGTTGGAATCTCAAAAATTTATTTAAAAACAATTTTTAATCCCCGTCATAAAAATTTGCTTGTTTATAGAGCTTTTCAGCGCAATGAAGCAGATTGTTTAGAGTCATTCAGCGGAATTCAGCGGACTTTGAAATGTAAAGAGCTAACTTTAAGACGATTTTGTATGTTGTTCGTACTAATATTTTTGTGATTCGAGTTTTTTTAGCGCAATTTAGCGGAATGATTAGAGAATTCAGCGAAATAAACATTATTTTGAAGCTAAAAAAGTAACTAAAAATCTAACAAAGCGAAAAGTATTCATGCGGGTCGTCGATTGGTATAATTGGCATGAAACCACTGCAGATAAGCTGCTTTTAGAGCAATTCAGCGGAATTCAGCTTATTTTGAAATCTAAAAAGTTAAGTCTTAAGCGATTTTATATGCTATTTGTAGAAGCATTTTTGGGATTCGAGCTCTTTTGGGGCAATTCAGCGGAGTCGTTAGAGCATAAAGCGAGAAAAAATTTATTCTGAAGCTCAAAAATTAACTAAAATACTATTTTCATAGCGAGAAAATATTATTTCGGCTTTTAAATTAGCCTGCATGGCATGTATTTATTTAATTGAAAGGAATTCAGCGGAATTCAGCTGACTGTTATATCAACAGAACTTACTTAAAAACAATTGTGTGAATAGTTTTAAAAGCACGCTTGGTTCTAAAGCTTTTAAACGCAATAAAGCTGAGTGATTAGAGTTATTCGGCGGAGTGATTAGAGTTTTTCGGCGAAATTCCGCTGATCGACAAAAGTTATTCAGCAGAATTCAAAAGGTATACTAATCATTGTATTTTTGGTTTCAAGCTTTGGAATCAAAAATTTGTTTAATAGTTGGTAATTCAGCATAATTCAGCGTCTAATTGTTTATGTATACTTTTATGGAAAAAGCATATAAATGAATTATAGTCATTGAAAGCTCGATTTTTTACTTTGAAATAACAAAACTAGCTCGAATTATGCAAATCAGCGCATCCAAAACTTTTCATACATTATCTCCCACAATAAAACTGTAAATTTCTCTCAGTGCACACTACAAACTTACACAATTTCAAAGTAAAATCCCTGCCAAAAGTTGACCAATTTATACTGGTCTTAAAATTGCGTTGTATAATCCACGCTGATAGCTACTTAGCGGCTGTTATGCCTGTGTTAACGCGAACTTGTTCCATTTTAGCCCGCTCGGCCAGCCCTCCCTGGCCACCATCTTCACTAACTACTCCACACCCACTTATTTCTCACTCAAATTGCAGCATCATATTTTGGCCACTCAACCGCCGCCTGCAACTGCTTACTCATCTACTATACTCCGCCCCCCCACAAAAGAAAATAAAAAAACACACACAAAACTTCCAAACCATAAACGTCCTGCTTTAATACTCACCTAACACCACCAATTTTACGGGTCTCGCATTCTCGGTGTATCTGCGCGAATTCTCCGCTTCACATTGCCACTTGCCATCGTCCTCGAGCATTACATTTGTGATGGTGAGTGCACCATTTGGCTCTTTAATGAAACGATAATCGGTGGCGCGTGAGGTGCGATCCATGGCGTGCACCACCTGCGGATTAAAGAAAGAGAGAGAGAGAGTGAGAAACAGTTTGAGATAATAAAAAGAATTTGAACAAGCAGCGTATTAAATGACATAGAACAAACAGTAGATATGCATAGCTGTTGTAAGTAAGTAACGGAATTAGTAAGTGCGTGAAAATTTTGCGTACCGCTCAACGTGGCAGTCGCTTGCTCACTCATTCACCGAGTGTAGGCAGTGGGCGTACGACCGTAAAACCGTAAAGTTTAAGTCGTTTATGAGCTGCCTTAATACCTGTTTTGAAGTTAGTATTTATTTTTGTTTTTGCAACGCGAATTAGCCTTATCTTTGTTTTTGTTGTCTTCGTTGTTGCGCTCATTTTCGTCCATTGTTATCTGCTGTTTTGCAGTTATGGCAGCGGAAATTGTTCACACGAAAGTCTTTAGTTTATTGTGCGCAATGGTGCACTATGCATAACTAAATACTAAATTACTTGTGCTCGCTTGCTGGTATGTATGTGCTCTGACGAGCCGAAAATTATGCAATGCATTACATTTTTTGTTTGTTTGCATTCTCTCATTTATTTAGCGCGCACTAAGCGTTGCTACTTAAGAATGTTAAGCTCTTGTGAATAAGCGCTACACCTACTCGGTGTCATTTAACGGATTTTAGATAAGTTCTCAACTTTTCTTGCATTTTTGCTTCTACATTGTTGCGAACTTTCGAGTTGCTCGTTTAGCTGTAGTGCCGCTTTTGAAAATTAAGACCAAGTGTCTGAGTTGATTTTTTCGAAGGAATTAAGTGCCAAAAATGTATGTGAGAGCAGAATTAAATATTTTTGTAATTAAAACCATACGATTAGTTTCATATAAGTATATTCACCGCTATTCAGCAGAAGTTTAAATCTCAATTTTGAGCGAAATAATAAATTATGCTTAGAAAAATTTGATGCAGCAAAAATCTAAGGATTTTTATCTGGGCCTAGGGTAATATCAGTTTTGATTTGACTGTTTTAAATTTTTATATTTGTTTTTCGTTTTTTTAATCACTTTTTTAAGTTTACTTTAAAAAGTTTTGTCTTTTCTTCGTTAACTTTTATTATTATTATATTTTAGATTTGATACACTTTTTTATTTTGCTTTCTCTTGTTTTATATTTTTCGTTTTATTCTAATTTTTTATTATTATTATTTTTTTTCTTTTGTTTTAAATAATTTAAATTTTATTTTATTTTTCACGTGATTTTATATTTCATAAAGTTTTTTACTTTATTATAAATTTTTCTGTTTTATTATTAATAATTTTTACTTTGTAGTATTTTTAATTTTCTTTGTTTCAGTTTATTATTTTTTAATTTTATTTTATTTTACTTTATTTAATTTATTTTATTTTATTAAAATTTTTCTTAATTCAGTTTTTTTTTATATTATCAATTTCTGTTTTATTGTAATTTTTTACTTCTATTTTATTTGATTGTTTTACTTTTCTTTTATTTAATTTTTTGTTTTTATATTTTTATATCTTTTATATAGATTTTATTTAATTTTTGATTGTTACATTTTTATATTTATTTTTAAGTTCTTTTACCTTAAAAAGTTTTCTCATTTTCTTCCTTAATCTTTTATTATTATTTTTTTAGCTTTAATACACTTTTTTTATTTTGCTTTCCCTCATTCTATATTTTTTATTTTATTCTTAGTTTTTATTGTTATTATTACTTCGTTTATTTTATTTATGTATTTTGTCTTAGTTAAATTTTGTTTTAATTTAATTTTCCCCTGATTTAATCTTCAATAAAGTTCTTTATTTTATCCAAATATTTTTTTGTTTCTTATTTATTTTATTAGTTTGTTACTTTTTTCCAATTTGTTTTCCTTTAGATTTATTATTTTTAATTTTTCGTACATTATTTTTTATTTGAATTTTATTTCTTTTTATCTCCTTTATTTTTGTAGTTTTGCTATATATGTATGTAGATAAGAAGATTAATATAAAATTAATCCTGTTTGTTAATTTTTATTACTTTGATGGTCAATGCTTTAAACGGCTTCTCACAATTTGGACTTCTTCGTTGTAAATTTCTTGTTTTATCTGAACTTTATTGAGTTTTTCGGTAATATTTATCAAAGAGATATGAATTTTTTTTTCTTGTTAATTTTGCAAATACAATTGCTATATTTGAACGTTATTATTATTGCAAAAATGATTTCTAGGAAAAATCTGTGCGCTTTTCGCATTTGCATGTTTACCTTTGGGTGGTTTGCCTTTGGCGGCGCATAGATTAGCAACTTTATCATAAATCTAATTGGTATGTAAATTAAATGCATTTCATATTTAAATTAAAACACTATATGACAGTGAGTGTTTGTAGGAAGAAATAAATATTGAGTTGTTTTGAATTAAAATTAAAATATATATATAAACATATGTAGTATATATATATGTGGAATTAAGTCACATGTGGTTGTGATGTCCTGAGCGCTATGTGGTTTATGTGAATAGTAGCCAAAATTATTTCTCAGTTAAATTTTTCTATACCTTCAGATAGATGGCAAATTCAACTCATTCAAACGAATGTTGGAAAATGTGAATGAACACTTCGTGCACATAAAAAATTTGCATACGCATATTGACGTGTCTACGTGTGCTTCGCTCATACCCTACGGCCATTTAATGCATAAAATCGCGCATATACTCTGCCATCATTTTGGATTTTTTTTCTTATTTTCGTCGCATAAAATGGTTGCGCATTTGCCAACGGCTGTGAATTGGCATGTGTTTGTTCTTATGTATGTACTTGTATGAATAAATGTATCCACGCTTATGTAGATACGTACATACATATATCCCACTGGCCATTTAATAGGAGAACATCCGAAAAACAATGAATGGAACAGGTTTATGTGTAAAATTTTCCACTTATGTTTCCAAGATTAATTTCGGCTGAAAAAATTTTGTAAGCCAAATTTTTTTTTTTTAATTTAAGATAGCTCTTTTTCAGCTTTTAAAATCTGAAATCGGCATAACAAGCAGCAGTTTAAATTACCATATAAAAATTTTGTGAGAGTATATTTTTTAACCAGGTTTATACTTCTCCAAGAACTAAGTTGTTCTGAAAGTTAGAGCGCAATTCAGCAAGTACTTAAAAAATTCAGCTCAGCTTTAGGACATATTTTTCGCTTGGAAATTTCAGTTCTATTCACTATTTTGCGTGTAAAATGTTTTTCACTAGTTTCTTAGATACAATTCAGCAAAATTTAACTGAAAAAATTATGTCTGCACTAACTTTTGTAAAATGACTTTAATTAATTTAATACGAAAATGAAGTTTTTTTGCTGCGTAATAAAATTTTTCCAAAAAATCACTTGTCCTTATCTGAAGCGCTCAATTCAGCAAATACTTGGAGTATGTATTGACAAAAATGTTAATTTGTTTGTTTGGGGTGCTTAATTCCCCATTATCCAGCGCTTAAACACATAAAATTTTATGCTTCGCAGAGATTTATCTTTATTAAATTTAAAATTTAAGAATTTTGATTTAATTCAGCATGACAACAGCTCGAGTTTTTGTATGCGTTTTTTATATATGAAACATTTAATGGAAAACCCAATTCTTTGTAAGGGGTAGCTTTCCTTGATATTTTCTACTACAGTATTGGACTTTTATATTCAGCACCAGAATTTTCGTATAATTTAGGAGAAGGTAACATTCAAGGAAACATTTTTATTCTACCTTGATACAAATCTTCTAAGTTTTAACCTATTCAGCTTGATCTTTTTTTAAGTTGAAGTGGGAATACAAGTTTTATAGTAAAATGTAAGTATTTAGTTCAATATATACCACGATTTTTGTCTCAAAAGCATTTAAAAGCCGAAACTTTGCCAATTATTATTTTTATTTTGTCGTATTCAGCATTTACTTTCTACTCCAGCCATATGATTTTTAATGTTTTTCGTATTCAACGCAATTAGTTTGACTTTTATCTGTTCGTCTTGATTTTTTGTAAGCTTTCTGATTACAATATTGAATTTTATAAAGTTGTTTGCACATCGTCTCAGTTTAAAGTAGTTTTTTCTAATTCAGCGCGAGCTGAATTCATTTTATAACGTACCAATTTCAACACTTTATAAACTTTGCACATTTTATTTGAATCATTTTTAATTCAGCACCAGCTGAATTGATTCAAAAGCATGCCTTTTTATATTTTTTATATACTCAGCGAATTTTTTTTTCAATTATTTCTAGTTCAGCGGGCTCCTTTTTAGCTTTTCACATTTCGATTGTAATTTCAAGAACGAGTTTAAAGTTTAAAACTATTCAGCGGTTATTTATATAGAATTGTTGAATTTATTGTTAATTGTGGTTTATTCAGATAAATTTCCATATATTTTTGAATTGACTTTTAAAGTGCATAGTAAGTGACAAGCAGCGTTCATCGTCCTTAGTTGATTTGCATTGAAAAATTGAAAAAAAGTGTAGACCAGTGTCTGTAGGAATTTAAGGTACACTACAAGTCGATTAATAAATTTATCTAAAATTCTGGAACTGTTTTTGGTTTTGGCTCTTGTGGAAGAAATGTCAACAAAATGCCCAAAAGCTTTCCACAAGATACGCTTTTTCAGTAGCGGAAAGCGCCAGCATATCACTGCCTGCAAATTTCTGTCCTCGTATCAATGTCTATGCATATTGATATTGCCACGCAAATATGTACATATATACATACATATCATGCAACATGGCGGCATATTGCACTCATAGCTGCCACACCACCACTTACATACTTATTAATGCAAATGCCCATCTATGCGTTCATTTGGAAATTTATGAGCTTCATATGCTGATACTGCGGCTGTGGCGATGGTGGTGGCACCAACGCCGCTGAAGCTAATGGACCAGCCCAAGTGGCACACGCACGAATATCGCAATTTGCCACATCTGCAAATAACCTGCTGCACGAGACACGCCGCTCGACCGACCGCATTTTTCGTATCGGCATTCAACCCCAGCTGTTGGCACATTTGCGTTGCATAC